TAGCTAAATATGTTTTATCAAATAAGGTCCTTCACTGTTATTAACGTCATCAAACACTTAGTTTTAATGGAATTGCAAGAACCACAGACATCTGATTGAAAATTAGAATGATGTAAATTGATGCTATCATTGTCCCTGATACACATACAAAAACTGAAAAAACCTTGCCAAGTCCTGGTATATTAAAATGATTATTTTTTCTGTTTCTATAGCAACACCGACATGTTACTCAGGAAGATTTAGATGTAATAATGGAAGATGTATATTTCACGGGTGGGTTTGTGATGGAGATGACGACTGCGGTGATAATTCAGACGAAGCTCAGAGTTTGACTTGTGGTACGTAGTAAGAAAATAAAGTTTATTTTTTGACAGACTCGTTGTTGAAAACGTAATCCTTTGAAACCCTGAGTGTAAATGAAATATAACGTCATTCCTGTTTCTGAGACTAAAGTATGATTGGTCAAAAAAATGGCTCATCTGTCCCTTTTACCAAAGTCAGCTTCCCTCTTCATTGAAAGAGATAGGTTTGCTACCGGCTGTCTTATTGTACCTTAGTCTCAGAAACAGGAATTTTTTAGCTAAGCTAATCAGTAATAGTGTTCACAGCTCACTGTCAAAATTTGAGTCTTCAAATCCATGTGTGTCTAGAATTATCTACGTTTGAAAGTTAAAATGACGACTCGTCTTTTCTTGAGACACTGTCATATATAGAAAAGACATCTATAGAAATAGTGAGTAAAATTCCTAGTTTGAGATATTTTTAAAGGAATTATGTGATTTTGGTACATTTCTAGTACTTCTGAAGACTATTTACATATATTCAAGACTCAAATCAAACACCCCAAAATGGATTTCATATTATTACAGTTATGTTTTATATTATTTTTTCAGCCCCACCCCCATTCAGTTGTCCATCAGGAGAATGGGAATGCCCTGGTACCAGAGTCTGTATTAATATTACCAGCGTCTGCGATGGTTCCATAGATTGTCCTCAAGGTCATGACGAAAGTCCAGTCTGCAGTAAGTTTTCATTTAACGAAAAACAATATTTGCTATGTGAACTCTCTGAAGTGGATGGTGATTTGACTAGAGTTGCTCCATTGGGTCAACTTGGTGTATCATGGATTGTAAAGAGGTTTTCTAAATTGTTTATGTGTATCAGGGACACTGATAGCATCAATTTACATCATTCCAATTTTCAATCAGACGTCTGTGATTCTTGTTAAAGAGATTGTAAAGAGGTTTTCTAAATTTTTTATGTGTATCAGGGACACTGATAGCATCAATTTACACCATTCTAATTTTCAATCAGACGTCTGTGGTTCTTGTTAAAGAGATTATAAAGAGGTTTTCTAAATTTTTTATGTGTATCAGGGACACTGATAGCATCAATTTACATCATTCTAATTTTCAATCAGACGTCTGTGGTTCTTGTTAAAGAGATTGTAAAGAGGTTTTCTATATTTTTTATGTGTATCAGGGACACTGATAGCATCAATTTACATCATTCTAATTTTCAATCAGATGTCTGTGGTTCTTGTTAAACAGATTGTAAAGAGGTTTTCTATATTTTTTATGTATATCAGAGACACTGATAGCATCAATTTACATCATTCTAATTTTCAATCAGACGTCTGTAGTTCCTGTAATTCCTGTAAAACTAAGTATTTTATGACGTCACTAATCACAAAGGGCCTTAAATATTATTAGCAGCTTTTTCGACAGTGACGTCATCAAATACTTAGTTTTAGTGGAATTACAAGAAGCACAGACGTCTGATTGAAAATTAGTTATTATCTCTTCATTTTATTTCATTTTGAATAATTTTTTTTGTCCCTAGATTCGGAGAGTTGTAGGCTAGAAAATGGTGGCTGTAGTCATCGTTGTATTCAGACTCCGCGTGGTGCTGAGTGTTTCTGTCCTGAAGGCCAAGAATTGAATGATACCAAGATCTGTCAAGGTTTGTGTTAAACAGGCTTCATCCTTCATCCCTATTCATAATCTGAGATTTGTGTTAAACCTGCTTCCTTCCTATTCCCATTGCGGTTAGGTATGAGGGGGTGAGAGCCGACACCAGGCTGACTCTCGGGAGGACTGGCACAGGCATCAGAATTTTTCTTACCTTGAGGAGGATTCAAACCCTCGGAACCTAATCGTCTAGCAGACAACAATCCAACTCACTACCAACAGAGCTAATTATGTATTAGAAATTGGGTATAGGGGGTGAAAGCCGTCACCGAGCCGACTCTCAAAAGCACTGGCACAGGCGTCAGAATTTTTCTTACCCTCAGGAGGATTCGAACCCATGGCATAATTGTCGTTAGGGTGGGACAATTGACTAAGGCCCCATGTACTACAGGCTGAAGACGTTAAAGATCCCGCGACAGTTGGCAATCGCAAAAGAGTAGGATAATGCCGCTGTCCTGGCAAAATTTCGCTCATTGCACAGTGCATGGCCATGCCCATCTTCATTAGCTCAATCAGTTGAGGACTGCAGTTTTCTTGCATTTCCTGTCCGAAAGAAAACATTTTTGAATGCCCTTTTTTGTTTATTTCAGATAAGAATGAATGTGACCCCCCAGGAATTTGTAGCCAGACGTGTATTAATACGAAGGGGTCTTATAAATGTCAATGTGACGAAGGTTATTCTTTATTACCCGATAAAAAAACATGTCAAGCTAGCAGAAGTAAGTTATAACATAGATTTTGTCCGTCTGCCATTTGTCCGTCTGTCTGTCCATGTTTGGCTTGTGAATTCGATGGAGGTTTTGATATTGACCAGTTATTTGGTTTCTTGGAGCCATAGTGGCTCGGTGAGTTAGACGCTTCCTTGCTAACTTGAAGGTCCAGGGTTCAATCCAAGCACAGGTCGAGATAATACCTTCAGATTTTTCAACCCAGTTTTCCCCTGTCAGTGAGTTAGACGCTTGCTCACTAACCTGTAGGTCCAGGGTTCAATCCCGGCATAGATCGAGATAATACCTTCAGATTTTTCAACCCAGTTTCCCCCTGTCAGTGAGTTAGACACTTGCTCGCTAACCTGAAGGTCCAGGGTTCAATCCCAGCATAGGTCAAGATAATACCTTCAGATTTTTCAACCCAGTTTCCCCCTGTCAGTGAGTTAGACACTTGCTCGCTAACCTGAAGGTCCAGGGTTCAATCCTGGCATAGGTCGACATAATTACTTCAGATTTGTCAGTTATGTAGGTAAGAGGGACAGACATAGAAAAAGCGTCTAGTTGTTCGGATGGGACAATAAACTGAGTCCCTGTGTTCTACAGGGTTCAATCCCAGCATATATCGAGCTAATACCTTCAGATTTTTCAACCCAGTTTCCCCCTGTCAGTTATGTAGGTAAGAGAGACTGACATAGAAAAAACGTCTAGTTGTTCGGATGGGACAATAAACCGAGTCCCTGTGTGCTACAAGTTGTGTAATGTAAAAAATTTAAAATGTCTTTGCAAAATTTCCCTCATTTCACACTGCAAGGTGTTACTTGTCTTCATACGACTAAGTAGGTTTAAAACAGTTACTTAATTTGAAATCCTTAAATGCCTTTTTTTTTAATTTTGAATTTTAGACACGTCTGAAGTGTTTCTATTAGTTGCTACAAGAAAGACTATCATACGATCTAGTCTAGATGCCTGGATGTACAAGTCTTTACCACTGGTTAACCAGAGATCGCTGTCTGCTATTGATATAGACGTAGCCACAGGACATATTTACTATTCTGATACAGGCCTGAAGAAGATTTTCAGAGCTACGTATAATGGTACAGATATTACGGAGGTATGGTCTAGCTTAGAGGGAGCATTGGTTATATACAGGGGAAGGAGATGGTCAGAGTTGGTGGGGTGGGGCACTCAAAT